GTTTATATTAAATAGTTATATTATAATTATATATTACAGTTAGTAGTATGAATAATATTCAATTTGTGAATAAAATTATTTTTAATTTAATATTTCGTGATTAGGAGATCTTAAAAAACTATAGGTACTGTTTTAAAAATTGTATCATAATGTTATGCTTATTAATACCTAAATATTATAATATAATAATATAATAATATACAGATAATTATGTAGTATATTAAACTAAAATAAAATACACTCAATTTCAAATAGTATTTTGTAGGTAACATAATTCCTAAGTTAAATTATAAAATTTCAAATAATTATGTACAGATTCATAATATTTGTAGTTCTTGAAAATTTAATTTAGGCACATTTATAAACATTTGAATTTCAAATCATAAACAAATGGCTATCTTATCAGCTGTTGGTACAATTTATCTATCGYAAATCCTTTTAGCTTCTCTTAGGTACCTAAGCAAAACATTTTATTATTAATTAAAATTTGAATATACAATAAAAATACAATACATATAAAAATAAATCAGGTGGATTTACTTTTATTTACTTGTAGTTTTTGGGCGTATTCTTAAAAAATTCGACAAATGATGTATTTGTTCCAATTTATTATATAAAGAGATGACAAATAAAACTAAAAGAAAATAATTCTTAGAAAATGTGTTACACGAAAAACATCAAAGTACAACCGCAAAAGCTCTAGTCTCAATCCAAAAACTCAAAACAGAAACCTTGATTTCTTTGCCTTGATTTTTTTGTGTGTCCTGCAATATAATGAAATTAATTGAAATTTACATTTATACATTGTGTAAAAATATTTGTACGGAAAAATAATAATAAGTCTACCTCAATCTAAAAACAATATTATATAATAATCAAGGGTTCTGTGAATAAATTAAGACATTATTTGGTATACAAAATATGTTGAACACTGATATTGTTCTATCTAGTAATTCAATTTGTTAGAAGGGTTAGTTATTTACTAAAAGATGTAGTGTAAATTGAAAAACCACTGAAGTGAACTTAATGAAAAAAATCTCTAAAAGCTAAATCTCAAGATGTTCCAAGATGTTTGGGACTAATTTCTTAACCCCAATGAAAATATAATAAGTTTTCAGATTTTCTGGTTATTCTTGATGTAGTTTGTGCTGTATCAAATTCACTTAAAAAATTATACGTATATTAAAATATAATTGTTTTTTTTATAGAATAATTCTTAAAGTAAAGACTTAAGTTTTAGAAAATACTAAAAACCATGCAATATTATAACAAAATATTCACGAATAGTCAATTATTTACGTTGATATATTGTTGTAAAATTATGAAGAATTAAATGAGTACTAGACGAAAAGTTTAAATTATTAATTAATATACAACGATCTTTAAAAATATTTGTTTTAATGTGTAAACAAATTTATGAAGGACGTATTAAATATTTGAACTTCTTAAGAAAAAKAGGTACTTTTCCGAAAACTTTTATATTATTTTATTAAAAAAAAAATTTTTCTTAAAATCTTTTRTTTKAATATTAAGTTAAATATTTCCATAACAAGATAGCGTATTAAACATTTTAATTAGGTTTTTATGCTTCACCTAATCTAAAACTGTGGCACTTGGTAACAGGCTATTTCTCCAAGTCTTAAATAGTCTGGATCATAATTTTCTCTCAACCTTCTCTCCATCGTTCGCTTAATTAATTTCTTTTATCTTAAATTACAATCAAATGTGGCATATGCAATAACCTTTTTTACTGTTCGTTTCTTTATTAAAAATACCGACCTATTTTACTCGTCTTTWTACTCATGGTTATATTATATAATTTACTTTTTTCATTTTTACTTCAGACTTCACCTGAATTCTAGGTTATCCCTCCTAATACTACTTAAATTCTATATTTTATTCTTTAATCTGACGTACCTGAAATACGTAACCTAACAATAATGAATCATAATCATATTATTATCTTCCGGTTGAAAAAACTTCTAACAAAACCGTATAGTAATATTTAATATAAAGGCTTACCTACGAATAACGATTATAAATTAATTGTTTGAGGGTTTTATTAAAATTAATATTTTCTAAAAATAGAAAATCTACTTAATGTCCATTATACCTATTAGGTATAAATATACTTAGTTGGACTTAAAGAAAACACATCTAATATAAACTATGAAAACAGAAAATCAATTTGATAATGAAATAATGTTAAGTCGTTAACACTTCAAAAAGAGACCGAAATTGTTCAAYGTGTAAAATGTGTAAGTTAATGAAAAATAAAAACCTTAATAACTAAAAACAGAGTCTATGTACTTAGAACTCGTTCACTCGAAAAACAAAAATAAAATAAAATATATTTATTTTATTATCTTATTTAAAAAAATAATATTTTGTATAGTATACCACTATTGGTAATAAATATTTTACTAAAATGTTATCAATATTAGTATTGAAATGTCTTACAACCACTCATTCTTCGATGTCGCTTAAACTTCTCTTATAGTAAACTATACCTCTGAGCTGTATTATAAATTAATATTTAATGTGCTTATGTTGAAGGACGAATAGAAGAAGTCTTCTATATTATTTAGTATCCCCATGATTATGCTAAAAGAACAACCCGGGGCATTAGATCCCTTAAATCTTGAGTTCTTGTTTACTCTCTGTTTTCATTGACGTGACTGTTAATCTTAATTCTCATGTGAGAGTGATTTAGTTAACAGAATTAACATTGTGTTTGGATTATATACCTAAATAAAAGTGACAAATATGTATCTATATTGTATTCATAATATTATAATAATATATATATTCTACATCGCAATTATATTTATGAAACGATTATTTTATTTCGTATTTATTTTAAAGCATAATAAAGATCAACATTTTTTTTTTAAATTAACTTTAGACGTGTAAATCAATTTATTACCAATATTGAATCGTTAATATTTATTAAAACCTGAAACAGATTTATTTTATTTTATTATTAATTAAATAAATAAGTTTTATCCTTTAAAAAATATTGAACAATTATATTTATTCAACACTTAGTAGTTTTGAAATATACGTTAAAAACACTTTGATGGTGCTACTAATGTAATGATTATAATAAGTTAATAAGAATAGATTTTCACCGGAATTAATTTTTCTCGGTAGTGAAGACAACTTAAAAAGAAATTTCGTGGAGTGTTATCATTATGGCATGGAAATCGAAAGAGGCATTATAGTGGCCTTAAGTTTGTGTTAGTCACGGTAGATAAAGAACACTCGGGGCAGTCTAACGCCCTCGAACAGACATTTGATTCACTTTTTACTAGTGTGCCTAATGATCCAAATACTAGCATTATGTTATATGACATGTTTTGCAGTTCATTCACTACTGAATAAATTATTTTAATCTTATTTTTCACTCCATTGTACTCAAAGCGTTTGCAAAAATATCAGCCAACCCACGATAAATTTCTTTTACGCATTTATTAGCATGGTAATATAATAAGACGTATATACAAACAAGAATGACTTAAATACAGTTGTAATATTTATAGTATAATGTTATTATTACTCTAACCTCACTTAAGATAAATACATGCTTAAAAACTTCAAGTGTTTTTTTTTATTGTTTAAATACTTCATCAGATGTGTGTTTTTTAATAGACCATTCGGTCTATTTTTAATTTAAACGATTTTATATCATTTTATAAATCCATAATATAATTTACATTCATGCGTTATATATTATATTAAATTTTGACATTCTGCAGAATTTTTTTAATTTGATTATATATTATGTTATGCGACTATTTTAAGGGTATACTATTTGTGTATGTGTGTGTGTGTGTGTGTGTGTGTGTGTGTGTGTGTGTGTGTGTGTGTATGTGTTGGGGAGCAAAACTAATATTTGTTTTTTCATTTTTAAGCTGAAAGTACTAGTTAATTGGTTGAAGTAGAATAACATTTTTAATGCAATACGATGTAAAACTAACAAAATTCGCTGAAAGTTAACARCATTTCAAACGTAAGAATTTGACTTATTATACCGAAAATATTTTAATCAGCTCATATATATATAAAAATATTGTATAAATGTAAATGAATTATGAATTTTTTATGAGGTTAAAAAGAAAAGTTTTTGCATTTTAAATTGCAGGTACATTCATCTTAAAAATAAGTAACTTACATAATATACAAGGCTACGTATCAGTTGAAAACTTTTGTTAGATTTTAATAACATTATTGTCTTATTGAAGCGTATACAATCTAAATGGGTATATAAAAATTGTATATCATTATATTAGGAATTGAATATTTCCTTGTGTTAATTTTAAATAGGTATAGGTACTATATAAGTATTGATTAAATGTTTTTTTTTTTTTTGTCCCTAGGTCGTTACGTTCGCTTAGAAAGAATGCTCACGTTGTACTTGTCGCTTTAGTAAGGAAAAGGTAATCAATTTCTTTATACTTATACTGTAATTCAACGGCAATGATGTGAAACCTCATTGGTTGATAAAGTATAACGTATTTGTTTTTTACAGCCTTGTGTTGAGAAACGAAAAAGATGTTACGTCCATTTTATCCAGTGGATTTAATAAGGTGAGTGATATTTTTTTATTTTCCAATCCAATTCTTAATTTAATTATACACGAATAAAAAAACACCATGTAAAATTTCCAATTTTAAATACAATTTTGCATAATTTTATTTAATTTGATCATAGATAATTCTATCCATATATCAAGCATTGTTTTGAATGTATATGATAATTCTTTTCTTTAAAATATTATCTTAGATTTATAGTGAAGTAAAATATATTATTCAAAATTCGTTATCATACGTTTTTTCTATTTCTGAATTTTTTTTCTATGGTACCTCATAAGAAATTKTTCTTTCAATTTATTTAAATTAATTATTAAGTATCGATTTGTTTAATCTTAATAAGAAATACCTAACAATATTTATTTTTTGCGACTTAACGTTACGTGGTTGCTTCATTTAATCACATGACGTGATTTAGAGTACACACTACTCGTTGCCACTAGTTCCCGGGAGCGTGAACACCTGAGTTCTTAGTGGCAAAAACCTTGTCACTCATACACGTGTTGCCAACCTACTATATCAATCGTACTAACCTCTATCATAACCCTATAACCCTAAAATATTTAATAGCCATAAATGTCGAGCTCAAGACCAATAATAAAAATAAAAATAAATATTTTATTAATTAATATTAATAATATAATTAGTTAATATGTTAAAAGGCACTATATTAATTCATTGCTCCCATTTGTTTAAAAATCTAATGCTTATACATCCAATGATTTTCTAGGGTAAATTTATTGACTGGGAAAATAAATACTGAAAAAAAAATGTATGTCATAAAAACCTAATGAAGAAAAAACGGAAATTTTAACTGGATCATACTTTCTTTATTGGTGCGATCTATCGTGTGATTTATTAGATGTTTGTGTTATTTTAAATTAATACAATAATTGTATACAGATATTACGATATTCTCAGTATTGTATTTAAACAAAAAATTAATCATTAATATTTTAATATTTTTGAACCCATATTATTATTCACCAAAATCACTTCTTCCTTCTACAATCTATGAAGTTTAAAAAAAAAAACAAGTTGTATCTAGTTGGATAGTTATTTATGTTACAATTTACTTCCCAAGTTTTATTAATTTCCTTATGAATAAAAATAAAATTTAAAGTAAATGTAACGGCTTCAGATATTTTAGGTGTTCTTACTGTTGACCTGAGAAGAAAAATATTATGATGGTCATTTTGAACCTTCCAAAGAAACTAAGATAACCCGTAATAATTTAGAAACCTTCATTTAATTATGTTTCTTTTCACTGTCTTATACAAAGATAAAACAAGGAAAATTATTTAAAAGGTTAACATTCGATTTAAAGGAAGTTTCTCAATATTTAAATGACTACCCAATAAATATAATGTTGTTATCATTAATTTAAAATTATGTATTTTCTTAGAATACGAACATTCTATTATATGTTTAGAGAAAAAAAGATTCTTGTATAAAACTATTATTGTAATTTATTTAAAATTTAGTGAACTATAGTAATACAATTAACATTTAAACATTGAAGATTTTTATAGAGCAACCATTCTTTTTCACCTTTTTCTAATTTAATACTTAATATAACTACGATAAATATGTCTGAAAGTTTTATAATTTTAAAAACGGTAACTTTTTATCTATTGATTATATTTTATATCCAAAATATTCATAATTCCAGGTTTTTTTATTTGGTTAATGTTTTATGATGCTTTATGCATAATATATTTATTATGTATATATTTTGTATAATGTTAACCTATATGAATACGTTTTTAGGTATAACAATATGTTTAATTAAATTTAATAACAAAAAAAATCATTACAGATAATAGTTGAAACATGCAACAAAAACGTATGGATCAAAGAGTTACAACAGTTAGAAAAAGAAGATGTAGCTATGCGATCAATTTTAGCACAGCAAGACGCAGTTTTAGCTGCACTGGATAAGACCAAAGACCTCGTCATCATTACCGACCTCAAACACAACATTCAAGTAAACATCAATCGAATTCCAAGATTAACTTTTTAGAACTCCGAATCCTTCTATTCTAACTCTCTCCTGAGCTGTGCTTTTCAAATGATCAATAAACATTAACTTTGTTGCTTCGGTAAATATGCGAACGCACAAAACATCCCTTGGGTGCATAACGTGTTTGTTTGCTTTTGGATCAGTGTTGTTCTAGGTAAATCGAGAAATGTGGATGAATAAAAAACGATTTGAGTGGTAGAGGCTTTAGGTAAAACCAGGAAATTAAATTACATCATCCAAACTCCAATGACCGCATTAAAAAAACACCTAGCTATTTAACATTTTCTGGTTATTTTGTCATTAACATTTTCAAATCCATTTTGTAAAATTAGGGGAACTCCAACTGACAAAATGACACTCATAATAATAAATTATTAAAATCACAAATAAATGTTTTATTTTTTATTCAAATAATAATAAAATGACAAGGGGGTGTAAGGCGCCGGCTGCGACGCACCCCATCACTGGTTCGAATCCGGATCATGCAGGGCGGCATCGGTTTCCGGGCAGTGTACGCTGTCTGGAAAGAGAGGCCGTCGCCCCCCCCCCCCCACGGGCATGGCAGAAACCTGCAGGTGCCCACTAGAAATTCTGCCAAAACACACACGTGCACCAAAAACCTACCCAACTTAAAGCCCTACAGTACCCTCCCTACACTCAATGGCCTATGTTGCCGCAGGTTAACAAATAAAAATAAAATAAAATGACAAACAAAAGATACCACCAACCAACAAAGTCAAAGTATTATGACAACCTATTCTTGAACTTGTTTCCTTTGATATAATTGATGTTGTTCCATATAACCTATTCTTGTTTCGTTAATATTTGATAAGTTTATAAATATAACTAATTTATCTATAAAATAGTATCGTTAAATGAATCAAAATATAGAATTATGAAGTATTTATTCAACTAATTGATACCTGCTTATATGCTCTGTGAAAAATACATTATTATAACATTTTAAAGTAGGGTGACCAACCTAACCTAACCGTTTAAAACGGGATTGTCCACTTTTTGATCATCATGTCCCGTTGTCCCGACAAATATCTAACGGGACGCTTTTTGTCCCGTTTTTAGAAGATGGTCCCGTTGTAATTCTACTATCTCCCTGTTATTATATTAATATATTATTATGTGTAGAAAAAAAATTAATCAAAGGAACAAATACAAAACAATATAACACAGAACTACAGTTACAAATTTGAAGTTTGAAAGTTATTAAGTATAACAGTTTTTGTGGAACGAATGTTGATTGTGATGAATTATTATTTAGAAAATAATAAGTAATTAACATCAATCCAAAAAGAGTAAGAATAATACTTTGACCAATTTTTCTAAACTCACAAAAAAAACTAATCCAAACCAGACGTGTTTTTTTTTTATGGTTAGGGCTTCGACAACTGAAGTCATTAGCCTGGGGAACTGTAGGGGAAGGTACTGTAAGGTTTTAACTCATGGGTTTTTGGCAAATTTTGAATGGGCACCCGTGGGTTTCTGCCATGCCCGGTTGGGGGCCAGCTGCCTCTCTCTCCAGACATCGCGAGATGCACAAAGAGCGATGCCGCCCGTGACCGAGATTCGAACCGGCGACTGCGTGCGTCGCAACCGACGCTTTAGTTCGCTCGCCACTCCACCCCCCAGACGTGTTTTATTATAATATTAAGCTTATTCAACATTATTTAATATTTATTGGTTTTTTTTTTTTTTAGAGTATCTACCTAAAACTGTTTTTCCCGTTTATATATATATATATATATTATATATGATATACGGTAAAGGTACGAATACCGTTTAACCCTAGGATTTACCGGTAAATTCGCCGACTACTATTGGTAAAACCTAGGATACACAACATCGTTTAGTCAAACCCCGAAAGATTTTTGTAGTTCAGGCTTTTACAGACGAGATTTGGTAAATCTTAGGATAAAAAATCAGTGTTAGTAAAAGTCCAAAAAATTTTACTAAAGTTATTAATTATTATTATTATTATTATTATTATTATTATTGTTATTATTATTTAAGTATATTAGGTAGGTACTACATATTAAATACACATATTTATATTATTGTTATATATCATGGCAACAATTTTATATAATTATTACAGAATATTATTACTGTAGTGTTAGTATATTATTTTATTATTATTATTATTTTTAAGTACTAATGCAAAAATTGACATATTAAATGCACTAAAATATATAAATAGGTACATTTATTACTTTTATATTATTTTTATTATTATTAAATTAAWTGTATTATTAAATTATTTGTTTGTATAGGCTTGGCTACTGTGACATCTCGAGTTGTTTTCAATCTATTCAATCTATAATCAATCTATTATCAAACCTGTTCCGTATCATAAACTAAATTATATGCGTAACACAGTATTAAGTAGGAACAACTTTTATCACATACCTAAGTACCTTTTTGGCTAATTTATTGATTGTATGAGTATATAGGTACACGTGTCAAGGTCTTCTATTATCATGATGTATATGGAAGACTTCCATTGGAAGTCGAAATGAAAATTCCCAAAGTCAATACTTAAATAATAATAATTATGATAATCAAGATAAAAGAGCCGATCGCAGTTTAGTTGTCATAATATATAACAATAATATAAATAGTGTATTTAATATAATATATTAAATACTAATATTATTAGTCATTGATGTAGTACTTACCTAATATACTTAAATAATAATAATAATTAATAACTATGGTAACATTTTTGGACTTTTACTAACACTGATTATTTATAGTTAATATATAAAATAGAATATTATAAAAACTTCTCCTAGTTTTTAACCCAAATTTATTTGAATAATAATATTTTTTAACGTTTATCAACGCAAAAAAACGTAGCCACACTGCACATTACACATGAATATAGGAATAAAAACCATTTAACAACACACAACATTTTTAATAAGATCTATAAAAATGTAAAATACAACAACTGATTATAGTTTGAATTATATAAATAATCAATTTCGAAAAAATAAACTAATACTCTTTAAACTGATTTAACACAAATATTAAATATATTAGAAAATAAGATTGTTAACAGATATTTTACTACCAAGTAGAACAAAAGTTTTTACTTAAACCAATTTTATATGATGAAATAATAAAAGAATTTAGCAAACTGTTTAGCAGTATTTACCTTAACGTTTTCGAGAAGGTTCAACGATTTTGTTTGTATTCCTTTCAATATTGAAGTAGTACGGCTACTTTTGTTCTCAACAAAAATCCAATTTCCATTGTACAGAACTGGTGTTAAAAAAAAAWAAATAAATAAATAAATACATAATAATAATGTTGCATGTACTCTTTGAACTTTTAACTTATGGYAAGATTAAGTGAGACATATTATRTAGTATATTATACTATATAATATAACCATTGTGTAAATACTAAATATTTTGAAATCTGCTCTTCTTCATTGCCATACTAATTTTATTTCGATTTCAGATAATCACTTTGAACTGAACATATTATTTTCAATGTTGAAGTTTCTAACTACGATTTCTGTTATGTATTATTAATATAAATAATAACATAAACATATTATATAGACATTTATTGTTAACAGTATAAATCGTAATGACGTACAATATATTTCTACTCGCTAATAACCGATGGACAGTCCCCACCGATCGTAATATGATACTTATGATTATTGTTAGTATAAACAGTATAGGTGTAATATCATATAATATAAATGCTGAATATGCAACATCTTTTTCCTTAAAAAAAAAAAATATATAGGTAAGTAGTATTTTGTGTATTACTTAATCGCTATGTTAGTGAGTTTGTAAGTTTAATTACATTCATTATAATCACTTGGTGAATATCGCTGAGGTGGTTTTCTAGATCTAATTAGTCTGGGTATTTTATTTATTATTATATAGTATCAGGATTTTGTTTTGCACCTACGGTTTCGATATTTTCAGTATTTTCCTTTATTTGTTTATTGGGTGTAAGTGAAATTGAATTATTTGCTGGTGTCAGCGATTTATCAATGAGTAATTGATCATTGTGTATTTGTGTCTCTTCCAAATAGTTCCGTCATCGAGCTCTACAGCGTGTGTATTACAACTAATGGATTTGATAATTTTACCCTTTTGCCATTTATTGTTATTATTCCTATAATCTCTAGCTAAAACATTATCATCTGTATTAAATAATACTATCCTATTACCACCATTGGTTATTTGTGATATTTTTCGTTCAATAACCACTCACTTGTATTCGGCAATAACGCGTCAAAATGTAAACGTGTTGATTGACCTAACATTAGTTTAGTTGGCGTTTCTCGTGTTGTTGAATGAGGTGTATTACGATACATCAAAAGAAATTTATTTAATTGGGATTTTACAGTCGAGCATTTAAAAAAAAAAATTTTATTGTTTTCACTGCTGATTCTGCACAGCCGTTTGATTCTAGGTGAAATGGAGCGCCTGTCATATGCCTTATACCTAGATTTTTGCAATATGCTTGAAATTTAAAACCTGTGAAACATTTTGCACCATCTGATGTAATTATTTTTGGAATTCCAAATCGTGCTATCGTTTCTGAAAATTTTTGAATAACAATTTCTGCTGTCATAGAATTTATTTGAAATACTTCTAACCATTTTGTGGTTGCGTCAACAATGACAAAAAAATATTTATTTTGAAATGGTCGAAGAAAATCGCAAT